CCAGCAACAACAAAAGGCAAAACTTTGTCCTGTTACGTAGTAAAACATATTTTGAAGCTAGGGTCTGGCTTTAGTGCAGAAATTCACAGACCTGTAAAACAGAATAAAAAGACCCAAAGACACAAAATGAGACTAAAGGGGCACACCAGCTCAGGGGCAAGGACGGGAAGCCAGGAGGGGACAGGAAAGCTGGTAACGGGGAACCCAAAGTCGAGAAGGGGAGAGTGTTGACGTGCTGTCACAAAACAATATGCGTATTAATGTTTAATGAGAAATTAATATGCTCTGTAAACCTTCATTTAAAGTACAATTTTAAAAAGGGGGAGGGGAGTAATAGATACAAAAAAAGACACAAAAAGATATGCATAAAGTTAGAATTTGGTAAAGGTGACAGCTCAACTTTGAAGGAAAGGTTAAATTATTCAGTAAAGAGTTGGTAGCCGTTCGTAAATAAGTATTAAATTAGTTTACTACCACTGAACACACGTGAAAATAAATAGCAAGTGGAGAAAAGCAAAGTTCTGCCATCTCTTTTTTAACCCACTCCTCTTTTTATTGTATATATTTTAAATGTCCCCCCACACACACACCCTCTCAGAGGACAAGCCCCAGGAGCAGGTAGTTTGTTAAGCTTTCTTTCCTGTAGCATGTATTTTAAGAACAGGTTCTCTTTACATTCTTCGAGAAGAAGCTGCATTCTGATATTGGATGTTTTCTCACATCCGACCCCTCTCCCCTGCTCCTGCGCTCTGAAGCCCCACTTCTCCCCACCCTGCGCCCAGCCGCAACTCCAGGCCACCATGCCGTTCACCTGGACCTCGGCAGCCACCTCCTAACTCTTCTCCCTGCCTCCCTTCTGCTTCCTCAGCCTGTTCTCCGCGAGCAGCCCACGACCCGCCCACGACCCGTCCACATTCTGACAGATGGCGCCACTCCGTTTAAGCCCTTGCACTTTGAACACACTCCGTCCTCCTAGAAGGCCCTGCCCTCCTTGCTCTTCCTGATTTCATCTCCACCTCACTCAGCCCTGGTCACAGGGCTCCAGGCCCCCCAGGATCCATCCCCCTCAAGCTCTCCCAAAGCTTCAAGTGCTCAACTCCCTGCTGTTCTCATGGACGAACCTTCTCCTCCTGAGGGTTCCACCATAAATAGCCCCTTCAGACCAGCCTCTCTGTCACTCCAAGTAGGTGGCTCATACACACACCCCATCTCAGCTTCCCAGGCTGCCGAAACAAAGTACCACAACCGGGGTGGCTTACAAGGACAGAAATTCCCTCTCACAGTTCTGGAGGCCGGGAGTCCCATATCACGGTGTCGGCCATGTTGATCCTTCCTGAGGCTCTAAGGGAGGATCTTTTCCATGGTGTCTTCCAGCTTCTGGTGATGGCCAGCGTCCTTGGTGTCCTGGACTTGTGGCTGCATCACTCCAATCTCTGGATCCATCTTCTCATGGCGTCTTCCCTCCGCGTCTGTGTCTCTGTGTCTCCTGTCTGCTATAGGACACCACTCAGATGGGATCTCCCCCACGTGTCTGTCAGTTTGTTGTACTGTGGAGGCTTACCTGTTGCTTTGATGCTGGAAGCTATGCCACCGGCATTCAAATACCAGCAGGGTCACCATGGCGGACCGTTTTCAGCTGAGCTTCCAGACTAAGACAGACTAGGAAGAAGGACCCGGCAGTCTCCTTCTGAAAAGGTTTAACCAATGAAAACCTTATGAATAGCAACAGAACATTGTTTGATATAGTGCTGGAAGATGAGGCCCTCAGGTTGGAAGGCACGCAAAAGATGACTGGGGAAAAGCTGCCTCCTCAAAGTAGAGTCGACCTTAATGACGTCGATGGAGTCAAGCTTTTGGGACCTTCATTTGCTGATGTGGCATGACTCAAAATGAAGAAGAATGGGACATCAGGATTGGAGGAAGACTCATTAACAACCTGCGTGATGCAGATGATAACAACCTTGCTTCCTGAAAGTGAAGAGGACTTGAAGCACTTACAAATGAAGATCAAAGACCATAGTCTTCGGTATGGATTACACCTCAACATAAAAAAAAAAAAATCCTCACAACTGGACAAATAAGCAACATCATGATAAATGGAGAAAAAATTGAAGTTGTCAAGGATTTCATTTTACTTGGATCCACATTCAACACCCATGGAAGCAGCAGTCAAGAAATCAAAAGATGCATTGGGCAAATCTGCTGCAAAAGACCTCTTTAAAGCAAAGCAAAGATGTCACCTTGAAGACTAAGGTGCACTTGACCCAAACCATGGTGTTTTCAGTTGCCTCCTAAGTATGTGAAAGTTGGACGATGAATAAAGAAGACCGAAAAAGAATTGTCACCTTTGAATTGTGGTGTTGGAGAAGAATATTAAATATACCATGGACTGCCAAAAGAACGAACAAATCTATCTTGGAAGAAGTACAACCAGAATGCTCCTTAAAAGCAAGGATGGGGAGACTGCATTTCACATACTTCGGACATTTCGTCAGGAGGGATCAGTCCCTGGAGAAGGACATCATGCTTGGTAAAGTAGAGGGTCAGCAAAAAAGAGGAAGACCCTCAATGAGATGGACTGACACAGTGGCTGCAACAATGGGCTTAAGCATAACAACAATTGTGAGGATGGCGCAGGACCGGGCAGTATTTCCTTCTGTTGTACGTGGGGTCACTATGAGTGGGAGCCGACTCGATGGCACCTAACAACAACAACGGATGGGATCAGGACCCCCCACTGCAGTGTGACCTCATGTTGACTGATAACTTCTTCCAAGACTCTATTTCCTAACAGGGTCAGGTTCACAGGAATAGGGGTTAGGACTTCAGATGTCTTTTGGGGGAATGCAATTCAATCCACAGCACTAGTCGTCCATTATAAATGATGGCTTAGTGGTACGTTTCTTGACACAGAGAGAGGTTCATAAATCATCATTAAATGAAAAAAACAAATGCCAGACAGTATGTGTAGGTGGGTCCCTTCCCATCATTGTAACGATGGAAAGAATATACGTAAAACACTGGACGTAATTACCACAGGGTGGTTTCTACCTGAAAATCTGTATAATTAGATTTTCTGTAAGGAGCATGTATTCTCGACGTCCGTTTTTGAAGGCCCTCAAAAAAGCATATTAAATTATAAGGTTGTTTAGGAAAGTCACCACTGGGGAGCCCATCGCTTTGACGCCAGGTGAAAGAGGCGATGGAGGGGCGGCAGTTACCCCTGTCGCCTGCAGGTGGCGCAAAAGCAGCTTGCTGACAGCCGCAAGAACTGCGTTAGCTTTCCTCGGAAGAAACAACTTTACGAGATTTAAAATCCCTGAGATTCTCTGGTCACATAAGTGTTTTGCTAATGATGCATTTGGCGTTGTGGAAGATTGTTCTAAATATAGTTGGAAATGCCAAGTGTTCGCTCTGATGGAAGTCGGCTGCGGACTGAAGCTACAGTGCTGCCAGGCCCCCGTGGCTGGTTGAATAGAGTATAAACTGGGCAGTTACGCAGGGCGGGCTCCCCACACCCCCCAGACTGGGGGCTCTTTGGCTCTCAGTCCTGGCTGTCCAGTCACCTCTGGGTTTGCAGCTTGCAGGTTCAGGACTGGACTGTGGATGGTCACTGATGACCCCTGACTGCTTGTCAGAACAGGGAGTTCTGTCCCTGGTGAGGGGTTAGCCCCTCCCTGCACCCTCCTCTGCCCCCGCCCCCCCACTCCCCAGGGAGCTGCCGCTTCCTGGCCTCCGCCGCTTTGCCCACCTGGTGGCTGTTACCTGGTCAGGTGCAGTCACAGCAGGTGCTCAGGTATGTCTGTGAGCGGATGCCTGGCTGCTGCTGAACAGCCAGCACAGGTGTCTTCCTTCTGCCGAACACTGGCACCTTCCCCACGGGAGACAGGGTGACAGAGCTCCCGGCAACCCACCTTTCCTCCTGCGTACCTGAGCAGGTATTAAACCTCACTCCAGAAAGGTGTGTGGTGACAAATAGGTTTCTCACAGATGACACTAAAAGCACCAGGCGCTCAGGGGGGGTCACAGCTGAGGAGACACCACTAGACCCGTCAACCGTGAAAACGCGTCCAAGAAGAGGCGGGAGCACACGTGGGGACCGAGGAGCCCTCCGATTCTGGGAAGCCTCATTTGTAGTTTGTACAGGAAGGCGCCTCACTCTGAGGGCTGTCATCTGGTCCCCCCTCTGCTTCCAGCTCACCCCACTCCCCAAAGAACAAGTTCCCTCTGAGCTCTGATGGCCCCTGCCCTGGGGCAGGACAAAGAGTCACTCTTGCTGTAACAGCAAAAGAACTATGTGTTTTGAATCTCAGCATTTGGGAAAGTGTGTGTGTGTGTGTGTGTGTGTGTGTGTGTGTGTGTGTGTGTGTGTGTGT